TGTTGAGACCATTTGTATTTTGTGCCGATATCACCGCATTCGTATCGTCCGCAAAAACTGGACTGGACTGGCTGGAAAATCTGGACATCCGGTAAAGATTTATACATAAAGGGGATCAAACCATTAGTAAATATGATGATGAAGAAGATTGGTCCTAAAATATATTTAAAGACTGCTAATAGCTAATGATGTCATGAATACACGAACACGCTGTGTGGCGATGCTATGTGAACTGATTCGATGAACAATAAAAATAAGTGTATGAGGCGAAAATGCTGATCGGGCGATATGTGCGGTTGCACCGTACATGCTCCCGGGCGAGATGACTATGAGATGAGCTAAACTAAAACATAGATGAGACCGACATAACACTGATTGCACGACATTATCTAACGAGTTTTTCAAAAATTACATTTATGTAAAATTGGGAAAGTGTTTTTATGCACTGATTTTTTGGCAACTTGAAATTCACTTTGTTCTGTTTTCACACACTCACTTTCACACTTCACATTTTTTAAGCACACACACAATTAAGTACACTGGTGTCACGCTTACTGCTGGCTGGAGCTGGGCGGGCGGGGCGTCTCCACCTCGCGCGCACCCACGCAACAACAAGTATTTTAAATAGGACTTGAAAAGCTGTTGTACTTTATTTCATAGTATTGAAAAATATATTATGATCCATCATATCAAAAGCAGAGCTTAAATCGAGATATAATCCTACTAATTTCTTTTTATTGTTTAAATTTGTGATGACATCATCAATTTATGTATTTATCGCATTGTTGCTTCCTATATTTGCCTGATATCCAAATTGTCGTATATTTATTATCATGTACATGTTTAGTTAATCTAATTTTAATCAGTCTTTCAAAAATGTTTGAAATAGTTGGTAGAACCGAGATGGGCCTGTAGTTTTAGGGTCAATTTTTGAACAGGTAGAAGGTAATATTTTAACAAGGTAATATTTTACAATCTAATTCCTTAGGACAAATGCCCTCCCCCCCGAACGGGTTCCCGCCTTGTCGTGGCGGGGGGCTTAGTAGCCGTGGCTTGGTCTCCCACGGTGAACAAAGAGGAACCCACGTGGCTGGCCCGAGGTGTAGGGCCGGCCTGAGGTGGCCGCTCCGAGTGGGCTTGGGGAGCCCACTTCGGATGTGTGCTGGTGGACTGCAGCGAGTGGGGACTCGCGCACCCTCTACCGCTGCAGCCGAGGTGGAGTCGCGGAGGAAGAGGAGTGTTGGTATGGCGATGCGCCACTCGCCCTATCCTTCGCGACTCAAACGGGGCCGCACCGTTGATGCGGTGGTGGTGGGGCTGCGGGGGGAGAGGATTGTCGGTATTGCGAGGCGCCGCTCTCCCTACCCTCCGCAGCCGAATCTTGGTTGGCGGCGGAGCCATAGACCAGATCCGCCGCTGGGGTCGGGAAGGCTAGTACTTCTAAGTGCTCGTTTTTCCTGGCCCCATGGCCTTTGTGCATCGGACGCGGGGGCGTCTGTTGCACAGACGTAGTTGGAGGCCGTGGAGGAAGGCGCGCCATGTGTTCTGGTGCGCCTTACCTGGGAAGGAGAACGGGGAGGAATTTTCCTCTCCCGAGGAGGTGCTGCCATGGGGCGGCAGTCGCTGATAGGGCCGCGGATGTGTGCGAAAGCGTTCCCGTAGCCCTGCCAATATGCGACAAAGGTGGAACACCATGGGGTTTTAGTCGGTGCGAGTCCGACATAACCCGTCCTTGCCCCCGCGAGGCGGGTATGCGTAGGCATTTCCCCATGCAAAAAAAAAAAAAAAAAAAAAAGGACAAATGCCCTTTTCATAACATTTCTTGTAATGTGATCTTCAAATTCGATATTTTTCTTAAAGACTGAAATTGGTATATCATCGCAACCATACTTTTTACTACTCATCATTTATGCAATATTGCACATTTTGCTCAAAGCATTTCATTGATAGTTCGAAGGAACCTTTCAGAGTGATCAAAATTTTCCGCAAAGATATCCACATCTTTTTGATTACTTTCGACATATTTTTTGTTATGCTGTAAAAAAAATACTCTCGTTTACATTGGGAATTTTCTTTGTGTTAGTTAACTACCCCACAGATCACCTTAACCGAGTTATTTAATGTCTCTATTTGCGACTGTATTAATAATTATTTGGAACACCTCACTACCCTTCTGTATATTTTAATATAATTTTTTCTATAACACCGACCCACTTAAATCTCTTTCACACACCCTTCTCCATCGTGTTTAGGAGAAAGGATGTGAGGCTAATGGGTCTATAGGATTTTGGGTACGTATAGTCGCTCTTACCTGGTTTGGGTATGAACTTTCACTTCCCTCAATCCCCTAAGAACATATCTGAATGCCGACATGCTTTCATTATGGCAACAAGTCTGACTATTAGGCTTTTACCCGCTCACTGTAGGTGAGCCGGGAAAATGCCGTCAGGTCCTACCGCCTTATAGGGAAGGAAACTACGAATGGCTCAATAGGTTTTATCCATTGTTACCACTCTCTGTGCTAAATTCCAGTCTTCAGTTGTTGGTATCACTTTATAATTATGCCGGTTCGCCCCCTGAGTAACAGACAACCTGGGAAGTGCGTTTCAATTAGAATGCATTGGGTTTCATCCGGCGATGTTGCGTAGTTTCCGTTGGATTTCTTCAAAGAGATCAACCCCGGCGTATTCTGTTTAGCTAGGATTTTCCTTATTCGACTTCGCTTGTTAACAGATTTCTATGTTACCACAGAATTTACGCCATCCTGTCGAACTTTAATACCCGATACATTTTTGTACTCCGACTTAGCTTTCTTGTTTGGTAGCTGGTCTTCATCCACTGAGATATTCATGGCCCTATTCAGGACTTTTCTTACCTTCTTGCGTTTTCTATCTGGTGTTTTATCCCACCATGGTTGCTTGCCCTTGACAAGCCTTGGTGGAGCGATTTCTGGACATTCTTCATGGTAGCTGTCTATCATGGCTTTAGTAACAGATATTACTTGTTCTTCTTGGAGCGACTGACCTGCTATAGTGTTTGCCCCCTCAAAACCTGCGAGTGAGTTTTATCAGTCTTGCGGGGATTTCTCCATAATGGTGTAAGGGAATATCGACCTGTAGTACGAAACAGATACATCTATGGTCTGAGCATGAGGCTTCTCTCGGCACATGCAATCCCGTGATTAGTGTAGCTGCATCTTCTGTTGCAAGTGTAAGGTCGATTATTGTTCGACAATGTTTGTTTATGAAGGTTGGTTTGGCACCTATATTTAAAATTGTTATATACCTATATTTAAAATGGTTAGTCTAAAGACTGGAAGAAGGGAATGATGCGCGTTAGAGTCCGTCCCAACTCCCAACCATAACCTCTAGTCCAGTCCTATCGGTTTCGCAGAAATTCATTAGCCTTACGAGGTCGCATGTAAAGTCCAGGCGGAAAATAGCTTTGCAATGGGTTAGAGCGTTGGTTTGGGGTTTGAATCCCGTAAAAAACAAGTATTTGTATTACCTACAAATAATTGATCTGGGTCTGGATGTATGTCCTTGTGCCATTTATGTGTAGATATTGTTGCCATGTAGATGTGTATTCACAATACAGAAGTAAATGCTAGTAGGAAGTAACATTTTTTGAGGAAAAAAATAATTTACTCACCTACCTCAGCACATCCTCATGATGATGTGAAGATAAGGTCATCTCAGGTCACAATATAATATTGATGCAAAATTTCAAAGCAAAACTAGGCAGAAGAAATGATGGTAAGCTGAAATTAGGGAGATTTAGGATAAAGTAACAGAACTTAAATTGTCAACAGCCGGCTGACTTCTTAGAGGAGGGACTCTTTATGATGTACTTTTTCTTTCCAAAGTGTGCCCCACAGAAAGTGGGCCTGGTCCAGACCCACAACAAAAAATCAATTTGACTTTATTTGATCGATTTTTCTGACAACTGAGCTGTAACAGATAGTGAGGTTAAAAAATGGTATCTGTTCACCGAATGTTAATTTGGAGATCCACCTGATGGTAAGTGGATGTTGTGGTCCATAGACATCTACATTTATCCTCAATAAAGAATTGCAATGCAGATGTGTTGTCTGAACAGAGAACTAAGATGAAATGCCTCGTTTCCAATAAAAAGGGTCTCCAGTTCACTACATTCACCACACGAAACACAGCAGCATTAAGCCGGTATTCTGTGAGAGCGTGGTCCTACCCCGAGCCGACCCATTTGTGCTATAATCATAATATAGCTGACGTGTGGATCTACCACATACAAAATTTCGTCGGTGTTGCTCCCTGAAAAATTGTTGTGGCTTTAGTACATTTAGTTCACTTTTATCAAATAATAATATTTAATTTATATTAAATATATACATATATATATATATTTATATATATATATATATATATATATATATATATATATATATATATATATATATAGTGCATTGGGGTAAGATCGGTGACTGGATAAGATCGTAAAATTCAAATTGCCGGTGAATTATGCTATATTTTTGAAAGCTAGCAATCTGGTACAAGACTCTATTTTATTATGCCCCGACCCCAAGTTTCAGCCAGTCGCTCCGAAAAGTAGGGCGTGTGCTACGCAGTATTTTATAAAACAAGGTAATTTTTGTATTTTTTTCGTCCGTATGGTCTTTCCCTATCACTTTTATTTGCGATTTTTAGCGACGTCCGGTCTTACCCCTTGCTGGCCAATTCTTCATTATCCATATAAAAAATTATGCCTTGTCTTCGCACACGTTTTAAGCACAAACTGTTGAGTTTTGAAAAGTAAAAGCTTCTTATAGCTAAATTACGTGTAACCATTACGATTTGCGCCATGTTTCAGAAATCTGACGTATATGGGTGTTGAGAAAATAAAGTTTTTGCCAGACTCTTTTAACTAGCCGAAAATCGTCCGGTATTACCCCAACGCACCTTATATATATATATATATATACATATATTATATTAAGGGTACAATAATTTTTAAACTTGCAGATGAAGTTCCAGCTAAGAGAAAGTTTCAGCAACAACCGGACCAGTATGCTGTGGATGCACACGGTCGACGCAGATTCCATGGTGCTTTTACGGGTGGATTCTCGGCTGGATATGGGAACACAGTGGGTACACCAGAGGGATGGGTTCCTACCAACTTCAAGAGCTCGCGTTCTGAAAAGGCGCAAGTCTCGGTGAGTACAGTTTTTTTATGATATATGGCGTTGGACTTTGGTTGAGTAATACATTTTAAAGTGGTAGTGCCACACTACAGCTAAATTATGATTGTACAATATGACTGCCTCGTTGGTCTAGTGGTTGTAGTAGTGCGACTGCTGATCATGAGGTCCTGGGTTCGAATCCCGGTGGGTCCTGCGCCTGATCTCTCTCCGGTCGTGTCGGTTTACCGTCCAATCGGATTATGAGAGTGAGGGAGTAGAGAGTGCACCTGTGCTTGCGCATACACTTGGGCACTATAATCCTGTCCTGCACCGATGGCTAGCATCCGTTAATGCAGGCCGCCGTTGCCGGAATTCGGTCTGGAGGACATTATTATGATTGTATTGCTGCATGAATGGATCACGACCACGCTTACACAGAATACCAGCGTAAAATAGCAATTAATGCTGCTGGGCTTCATATGGTGAGTGTGTAGATAACTGGAGACCCTTTTTTCTGGTAATGAGGTATTCTATCTTAGTACTCAGGGTAGCAACACATCTACATTTTGATTTTTAATTCAGGGTAAATGTAAATGTATGTGTGTGTACGTTTGTCACCCTTATACTATAAAAAAATTTAAAATCCCGCTAAATATTTATGCCTTAATTGTCAATCGCAATGCCAGACATATGACACCTTTGACTTTGCTTACCAGGATGTTTTACGTCTGTCGTAAAAATGTACCAACATTTTTCGGAGGATATAAAACCTTTTTGATACTTCTCCATAATCACTCACATTTCGAATTGAGGTGATGAATTCTCTTATACTATTATATTATGTTACTATTTACTAAATTAATAATATAATATATTATATGTAATAATATGAATATGTATTTCATCAGAACCAAAGGCCGGAAGATTTTATGGATGAAGAGGACCGAGGTGAATTTGGTATAGCACCGCGACATTTACAAACTAACAATGAGTTTTCTGGGCAAAAGAGACAGAGACAGCAACAGTTTCATGATGGTCCTATTCCTGGTAATTATATTTTTTCCTAATTTTCACATTTTCATAATAGGCCCTAAATGAAACTAAATATTTTGGAAAGATACTATTTTTTAACACTGAGTAACTAACGGTGACATTCAAAATTTTTTTATTGTGTAAATTGTTATAAAAATATGTATTGCAAAATTTAACAAGCATGGTTAATACTATTTAAAAAAAACGATTGCAAAAAAAATAGTAATAATACCCATTACACGATTATAAAAGAATTTTATCACAGCTTTATTATCAGTTTTGAAAATTTAAGCGAGAATGGTAGTTAACCGACTTTAAATCGTTATAGGTCCAATTACTAGAGAAACCTGGAGATGATTGTCAAAGACTTAATCAATAATACCCCACTTGACATACCACAGTCGGGTATAAAAGCAATAATTTCATTAATGACTGTTTCCTCTTAAAATTAATTAGCTTGTCTTTGTGTATTAGCGCAGTATACAAATAACAGACCAGATTCTTATCTATAATATGAGCTACAACTACATACCACAAAAATAAAAAAGATTGAATCTTTAACAGCTTTTTCCTTTGCAAGAGAAATCTTGTCCATAATGTTTCCACTAGAAACCTGTGCAGAAATAGTGTTTGTTTTATGTTTCGAGCTAATGACAGAACAGTCATTAAAAATCAATATGCGCGATAGGGAATTGAAAACACGGCTCTATATTCCCTTAGTTCGTATTTTTGATGTCAAACTTCTTTAGAATTGTTGTATTGGAAACTCGAAGAAACGAAAAAGCGACTCTAAAGAGACAAATATATACATCTATAATCTTAGTCTGCGAGAGAACGAGAAACACTATACTGTATTCTACCTCATGTGTTTCCTCTTATCTATAAATAATAATATTATATGTAATGTATAATATAATTCTGTCTTCTTTCTTGGTAACAATATTATAATAAATAAAAAACTTTTTACGTGGTAGAGCCATGCTGCGGTTATATTAGAAGTATAGTTGTAGCACGAATGGGTCGTCTCGACCGGGGAAGGACCACACTCTCACAGAATACCAGCGTTAAATAGTAGCTTAATGCTGCTTTATTTCGTATGGTGAGTGTAGGGAACCGGAGACCCTTTTTACTGGAAACGGGGTATTCCATCTTAGTCTCACATTCTCACGGGTGGCAACGCATCTGCATTTTGATTCATAATCGAGGATAGATGTAGATGTCTATGGGCCACAGCAACCACTTACCATCTGGTGGACTGTGAGCTCGTTTGTCACCTTATCCTATAAAAAAAATAAACCCTACAATTATCCAACTCCTGATACTCTGCATTTTTCTCATTCTCTCGAAGCATATTTTTCTGTTTCACTTTTACCGCGTGTGAACAAAACACATGTTTTTTTTATAAAAGAGGCGGCAAGTGAGCTTGCGGCTCACCTGATGGTAATTGACTACCGACGCCCATCAACAACTGCAACGCCATGTGATCAAGTGCTGTTTTGATAGGACATTATGATTTTCTAGGTGAACCGGTCTTACAGCAATTGGTCCGCGCAGTTCATGAGACGGCAGCTGTGAAGATGCTACGCGCTATGGGTTGGCGCGAAGGACAGGGCACTGGTGAGCGTTTGGTGAAAGAGGCCAAGAGACGTGCTAAAGAACAGCACAAAGTGTATGGATGCTATATGCCGCCTGAGATGAGAAATGTAAGATTAGAAAAGGAAATAATAAAAGTAAACAGGCTTTTGTTAAGCTAAGTTGTTGCACTTTACCATCTTCAGCTTCATCACATTTACCATCAGTAGGGATAGCAGTTGAGCACTGGCTTGGAATAGCTAAAAATAGACTATATTACAACATGTAAACCCATGTAATGGCAGTGTAAGGATGTCCACTACCCCCTATGGTCCCGTGCGTGTCGTAAGATGCGACAGAGGGAAACTGAAACGAGAATAGTAGGCAGAAGCATCTTCCTGATAACAACTCAAAGTTCACCCTATCGGGCAATCAATGGAGCAAATGAGGACTGACCCCTGAGGACTAAGATGTAATGCCTCGTTTAGCTGAAGACTTTTATAGGGCACAGAGCGTATATATTTTATACACACAGAGCGTATATATGATATAAGATAAGATTTCTGGCCTTTTACTGTCCTGTACATCCAACGGTTGTCCGGAAAATAACATATTGTATGATATACATATAGAATAAGAGTGGCAAACGAGCACACAGTCCTCACGTGATGGTACGTGGATGCTGTGGCCCATAGACATCTACATTTATCCTCAATTAAGAATTAAAATACATGGGTTGTCACCCCTGAGGACTAAAATGGAATGCCTCGTTCCCAGTAAAAGGGTCTCCGGTTCTCTACACTCACCATACGAAACACAGAAGCATTAAGCTGTTATTTTACACTGGTGTTCTGTGAAAGCATGTTAAATAAAATATATTACATGGGATTACATTTTGTATATAATTTTTCACTACTATTGTGTGCTCTGTTGTGTCCAATAAAGAATTATCTATCTGTTTATCTAAAAATATCTTGAGAAAACTATGTCTGAGACATAATGTTATTTTGATATATTCTAACATGGCGAATCTAGATATCCAATCACAAGAGGAAAAGACCTTAATTATTTCATTATGACATATGTTTATAGGGCCTCGACTCTGGCCTGATGTACAAGGCTTAATTCGTTTTTTTCAGGAGAATCGTCCCCAGACGGACGAAGACAGCTCGGATTCAGAGATAGACTACGAAACTCTATTCGCCCCAGACGACTATGAACCCTACATCCTGCAGCGTAAGAATGATCGGTTCGGACTTGGCTACAGCGGACTCAGTCGACACTCTGTTCTCGGTAATTTGGTGGGAGAGTACGGAAGTGATGCCGGTTCATCAAAGAGTCACCTTGTTATGAAGGACAAAGGCAAAAAGGTGAGCTATTTTTATAGCTTTGCACAAACTCTATTCAAAATTGTTTTGTGAATGTAATAAACAACTTACATAAAATACCATTAGTGTCGTAAGAGGCGACAGAGGGTCATAAAACAGGAGATTAGCAACTGCATCCCCCTGATAACAATTCAAAATGGTAAACCGTGTGATTTCCAACCCGTTTGCCAAGGCTTGCAACTATAGCAAAGAAGTATGCCCACTTTCCATACTTATCACTTTTTCATTTAGAGGCCAGGGAAAAATGCTATTAATTAAATTTTGCAGGTTATAACAGCTGTCAAATAAGGTCTGACAGCTTTCACAATCTCAAAAACTATACGATAATTAAAATCAAATTGTTTCTTAATCGCTGAGAGAAATCAAAACTTCAATGTAATATCATCATCAAAAAAACAATTGGTTATTTTGAACATTCATAAGCCACATGACGGACAAGTTTTTCGTAGTCTGTGAAACGGAACGTGTAAAACAAGTTTTCTTTTAAAAAATATATATATTTTGCCGTGACTTCTTGGACTTCATTGGAGTCATTGTAAAACGCGTTCCGTCTCCAAAAGCCTATTGAGAATGATAAACATAGTAACATTACTTTTTGTCCTGGCTTTATTGGAAAATTCAATTATGCGATACGAAATAAGCAAAAAGAAGGCAATTTTATAAGATATTTTACATCACTAGACGCGTTAAAAAATTTTCAGGTCAAGACTGGACTTGATTCTTTCTCCCCTATAATGCTGACTATAGGAACTATTCAGCGGAAGACTTTTGGTAAGTTGTTGATGGCGATAAAACAACTTACGACTTTTTTTAATTGAATAAAGGTGACAAACAAGCACACAGTCCACCTGATGGTAAGTGGATGCTGTGGCCCATAGACAATCCTCAATTAAGAATAAAAACGCAGATGCATTGTCACCCCTGAGGACTAAGGTGTAATGCCTTGTTTCCAGTAAAAAGGGTCTCCGGATCTCTACACTCACCATACGAAACACAGCAGTATTATTTTAAATCACTATGTATTTATTACTTTATACGTCCACGAAACATAACAATCAGCACATCTCTCATAACAATACACATGTCATCCAACCTCATATTAGAAACCCCCTTTAACATGTGTATTTCTGTGATATTGTATTGCCCAAACGGATAAAGCGATTTTCTTTGGTTGTCTTTTATCTTGATTGAGAATGCTCTTAGTTATGATTCAAGAATTTTTTAGCCTCTTGATTATAATCAGCTCTTTGTTTCGGGGTTTCTTTTTAATTTTTAACTATCTGTGTTTAATTTAGTGTATTTGGTATGTGTTTGTGTTATTACTATTGTATTATTAATTGTCTTTCCAGGTATCCATCCGCGGCCAAGCATTTGGTGTTGGCGCCTTCGAAGCTGATGACGACGATATTTATGCTACGGAAGATATGTCGCATTACGACTTCGCTATAGGTGGCGCCACCAATGACAAGCAGAAAGCGAAAAAATCTAAGGAAAAATCTGCTAATGTAAGCGTAATGTTTAACTGATTCAAGAAATTGTTGAAATAGTGGCACTACTCGCAAAAAGTTAATATTTATTTCTTATAAGGATATGAATTATTTTTCGCTTACGCAATGCGTTACAAGCTTACAAGCTTTATAATATTAAAAGTAAATCGTTATTACACATTATAAAATTTGCTTGGTATTTAAATTAATAAAACTACATCATAATATAAAAATATTGTGTTACAATGATTGTATAGTGTTTGCCCGCAAACCTAATAACCACGAACTTGAAACTTTGCTTTTGCAGGTAAAGTTTTGTTCGGGGTGTATGTCCGCCGTTTAGTTGCTATTGAGCTGATTCGCAGAACCATACTTATGCTCGGGTCTTACTCGGTAGATGATTTTAAAAGTCACATGATTTTAATGCTTAGATTCAAGGGATTAAGGATTGTAATATATGGTATAATACGTTATATGTGGTTAAGCCACCCTTTAGTCACATTATGTTTGTAGCACGATTGGATCGACCTGAGAAGGACCAAACCTCCTAAAGAAAATTAGCGTAAAATTGCAGTTTTATGCTTCTGTGTTTTGGATGGTGATTGTAGTGAAACGGACACCCTGTTTACTGGAAACGAGGCATGTCATTTTAATCCACAGCGGCGACAGCGCTTCTGCATTTTGATTTTTAATATAGGATAAATGTAGATGTCTATGTGCCACAGCATCCACTTACTAGCAGGTGGACTGTGTTCTTGTTTGTCACCCTATCCTATAAAAAAAATGTCCAGATGTGATCTTGAAAACTCTGACAGTGATTGTCATGTTGATGGTGTTATGTTGGTAAAAATTCAACTGTATGCTTGTTACTGCATTAATATAGTTTTAATATCAGGAAACACGAAAAGGATGCTGGTAATTTAATATTAGTATTAATATCATGATAACTTAAAATGCGTTTTTATAGAAACTATTGATAAATGTTTAAATAAAGCTAGTTTTTTTTTAATGGATTTTATCGCGTATGTTAACTTATTTTATATTCCCGTTTCGTACTTTACAGCACCCATAGTCATGTAGGGGAATAAGGTGTTCAAAGTCGATTTTTTGAAGAATATCATGTTTATCATTTATATTATCTTTCTGCGTGTTTGCAGCCAGTTTAATAAACATAACCTATTTAGATGTTTTCCATTCTATTTTTTTTAAGAAAATATTTCTCAGCCCGTTTGAGGATTGAATATAATTTTACTCTTTTAGCCTCTTATTATGATTGTGTCATCTGAAATGTAAACAGACCTTTGGTTAATAAGCAATCAAAATTATAAAAATACATTAATGCTAATATTTTAACACTGATCTTCTATAATGATTTCACCCATGACAACGGGTGCTGTAAAGTGCTCGTAACGTCGAGAATATAAAATGCTATTAAAACATAATTTGTAAAAAAAACTAAGTCTCGCAACTCAGTTCTGCTACCGTAAAAAGTTGTGAGATCCAAGTAATACCAAGTCGGTTAATTTATTCAGTCCCTACTTAAGGGTCTTTCTGTTTTAAGTTATTACGTAATTAGCCAACCTAACAAATTTTATAGTGACTACTGTCACTATAAAATGTCGTTAGTTGCTTGTTTTTTTTTACAAGTTATGTTTTAATGGCATCTCATTTCTTTTTGTAGATAAGATAGTCCTATTTTTTTCCTTTCCGATACCTTCTACTTCTTTAATACCAACAACGCACCTATCTACAGCTATTATACATAATATACAATTACACTGATTCATTCACTGCAAATGTAACTTTGTAATTCTATATATTTATATTGGATTACAAAGTTATTTATGCAGTTGGTGTATCTAGAAAACCGGACCGAAATTAAAAAATATTTTAGTTTTTCCTTTATTTATACACTAAACACTAATTGTATTCTAAATTGGAAGCTTCTATGTCTGCTAGAAGTGCCTTAGAGTTTTGATGATCGGTCAGTCAGTGAGTGACAAAATTAAAAAACTTTGACTAGTTATAATTCTTAAACTACTGGTTCAAATTGAATGAAATTTGAAATATACCATATCTATACAATTCCTACTAGATAGCTGAAAATTCAGGATTCTAGTTTTATCCACAACGAAGTTATAAGGGGTCGAAAATGGCCTGAACTGCTTCGAGAAAAGTATGGTACGGTCGTGCCGCTTTTTTGCTCGACTTGGCGGGGCACTGGCGTGCCCCCAGATAAGCTAATATACGCGATTAAATCCGTAATAACTAGTTTTATTTAAATGTATAGTTTTCGCGTTAATATAAGAAATCATTGATAATTGTTTTCAATCATTCATCCATCGACTTCCCTCATATTGTCACTTCATCTATACAAATAAATAAAATGGAAGTGTCTGTTTGTAATGTCAAAATAATAGCTTTTTCCTTAATGCTTATTAAAGTAGTGTATATACGGTACATACATATAATACATAAACACTCACGCCTGTCACCCAGAGGGGTAGGCAGAGACTACAGATTTCCATTTGGCACGATCCTGACACACCTCTCTCGCCTCCTTCACATCCATATACCTACGCATACATGCTCGTCGGTTAAGGGTATTCCTAATTTTGCCCGTTTTTAATAAATCGCTAGTTTGGTCGATAAATTTTCGCCTAGGACGTCCCTTTCCGACTCTGCCATTCACTTCTACAACATAAATTTTCTTTGTCACTCTTTCCTCATTCATTCTTTCCACATGACCAAACCATCGAAGCATTCCTTTCTTAATTCTGGCCACAACATCATCTTGCAAACCACACTCTTCTCTTATCACACAATTTCTTACCCTGTCATTCAGATTCAGCCCTAACATACATATGTTATTAGTTTGTTTATTATGTTTGTGTAATTATCTCTTACTACTTACTATCTACATATAAAACAAAGTTGCTTCCCGTCGTCTATACGCTTATAACTTTTAACCTACGCAACGGGCTTTAATGCGGTTTTCATCAATAGATAGAATGATTTAAGAAGAAGGTTTATATGTATAATACATGCGTATTATAGTACAGAAAAGGCGAGAATTTATAACGCCATCCAAGCGAAGCCGGGGCAGATCGCTAGTCATGTATAAGCCTAAAAACTTTTTGATTGTTGTTGATCCTTTGAGCTCCAGAAGGATTCCAAGAAAACCCAGGAACGGGAACTACAGGAAGGAAGGTTTTAATTTCATCATATTTTTATTTCTAACACTTCCAGGTATTAGAAGGGTTTGTGAAATCTAGCAAACCTCTTCCGTCCGTGCCATCATATCCGCCGCCAGCTTTACCACGTGATTATGTACCAGCACCCGCAGGCAGTCGGCGTTCCAGGTTCGAGCCAACCACACAAACGCCGAGAAATCAAGGTACATTATTGTTACTGATTTTTATTGATACAACTATATAATTAACACATGAAAAGAAAACTGTATCCCTTTTTTAACATAATGCGCACACGGCAGTGTGAGATTTGGCATTGTTAAGGTATGGTGCTCTCACAATGTGAACTATTATTTATTCTGTGATATTATTAAACTTTATTAGTTCTCATTCTTTTTTCCACTAGCCGATAACCGCCGAACAAGAACATCTCCCGCTATTAATTTGCCTTAAACGTCCCTCTGACCATTACACCATATCTAACCGTGTAGAGCAAGAGTAAGAATTGCACTTCTCCACTTTGTCCAGTAGGTGTCGTAAGAGGAGACAGAGGTAAATAAAACGGGAGATTGGCAGCACCATCCTCCTGACACAAAATAATATAAACACTATCGTATGCCAGCTCGCTTTACACACGAGGTAAATACCCCCTATCAGGCAACGTCTGGGGAAGACCTATGTTCAGCAATGGACTTTTGACGCAGGCCAGTTAACCATCGCAGTACTAAAGTATCGCTCATCTGGCTGTGCTGTCCATAGAATACTAGAACACTATATGTATTTATATTTTGTGAATATTAGAAACAAAATTACGAATAGAAACGAATTTTTTATACGTGGTAGAGCCATGCTGCAGTTATATTAGACGTATAGTTGTAGCACGAATGGGTCGGCTCGACCGGGGAGGGACCACGCTCTCACAGAATACCGGCGTGAAATAGTAGCTTAATGCTGCTGTATTTCGTATGGTGAGTGTAGAGAACCGGAGACCCTTTTTACTGGAAACGAGGCGTTCCATCTTAGTCCTCACGGGTGACAACGCATCTGCGTTTTGATTCGTAACCGAGGATAGATATAGATGTCTATGGACCACAGCAACCACTTACCATCATGTGGACTGTGTGCTCGTTTGTCACCCTATCCTATAAAAAAAATAAAAACAAAAATAAAGAAATATTGTTGTGTCAAAAACATTAATCAAAAGTCTATAATGTGTAAATTCGCTCAGTCTGTCAACACAGCGAATCGGTTTTGTAGTAGTGATAATACGACGTAATTGCTTCTATGTGTGCTCCCGCCGATTCTCGTACAAAATAAGGTAAACAGCCATTCTATTATTTATTATAGTATTGTATGGTGCTGCCCATCGCAAAAGCCATAACATCTTAAGGCTATCAATAGATAGTGTAGGTGGTGTATGAAGGAGTGCAGAAAGCTAAAATTTATATAATATGGTGCTACCATTAAATTAAATTAAATATTCATACTATATACAGAGTGACGATGAAGATATCACATTAAATGAAAATACTTATCCTAAATAACGTTCTTTAAACATACATAATTAAAAAATGTAACAATTAACATCCTATGCCCAGTAATAATTTTTTTCGATTTAATATTAAATAACATCATGTAAATGCATATATTTATCACCTTACGAATACTAAAATGTCAAAGACCCATGGCTGGCAAAAGCGAATTATAGTTCAAACGTTGCCAATCCGAATAACTCAAATAAAGAAAAAGGATCAAGCAGAAAATGTACTTAAGCCAAACGATTTAAAACTTAATTCTTATGCGCCAAATTAAAAACAAAGGGACTGCGCGCTGATAAGTTTCCCGATTTGTTTACGTTAATAGGATAATAATAGTTGTGATAAAGTGGTGACATTTTATGCGAAATTGGACACTTACTTTTATTGTTTTGTTTTTTTTGTTTGTGATGGGACACGTTAATAATACGCTACATAAAAATCATATTTAATAACTTAGTGAAGTGTGTGACATTTACTTTTTAACGTTTTAACTTTTTCTAAGTTTTGAGATACCTCGTATCAATTTCACGTCGTCGGAATAAACCGACATGATTTTGATTTACGGAGAATGCCACCAAAACGCGGCTCTAGCATTAAATAACATTTAATTATTAAATTTGAATTGATATAGTTATTAAACTTTAGTGATTACAAGATTAGAGTGATTATTTGGATAAAACAATATCATAAATTTATGATTTGTTGATAATATCGCATTAGCATCGCCCTACGCGTGCCTAATTCCCTATGTACGGGCAAGTGTAGGTATCGCTGCGCCGTTGCCGTTTTTACAGGTCACTTCAGGTCAATAAACTCATATTATCCAGGATGATTTATTTCGTGCAATATTTTAAGCTATTTATTTTGTTTCAAAAATGCACTTTTTTATATTTTATATTGTTTATTTTATTATTTCAACAGACGTATATCAACTTGCAATTTACTGTATAAATGTGATAACCTAATCAGTATATATCTGAGAATATATACAAGTATAAGCTAATATGTATGCCTGTGATCAAACAATCGCACAGAATAAAGATTTTCATAATGTTAGAAACAAATAATTACTGACAAATTGACGGAATTTTGTGTACTTTTAGATGATTTTTATTTAATTAATTTAATATTTTGTATTTTTCATATCTGTGTTTTATATGTAAATGTGCAGTTGATAACGAAATACAGGTTGGTTAATATTCCAAACGTTTAGTGGCGACCGTGGTGGCAGTGGATGAATATCCACTACACTATATTGTGCCGTGGGTGTCGTAAGAGGCGACAAGGGGAAATCGAAACAGGAGATCGACACCAGCGTCTTCCGGGTAACAACTCTACAGCAACCCGCTCGCCAGGCGTGATGGCAAAATCCACCCATCCACACCTGCGGGGGAGGCCTATGTTCAGCAGTAAATTTTGTTTATTATTTATCCCATATTATATATTAGATATTAAGTAAGTATGTATATTGATTAAAACTACTTTTACGGATTTTATCGCGTTCATTTTTGCTTTTAATTATTTTTATTTTTAAAAATAAACCCGATAAAATCCGTAAAAGTAGTTTTAATCAATGTGTAGTGTTCGCGTAAATATAAGGAATCATTAAGTATGTATATTTTACTAACCATATATATTCTATTCATTTGCATTTTATTTTGTTTTATATCCTTATTATTTATTTATGAAGTGATCGATTACAACTGCCACAGTTTCTCAAATCATCCAGGGTTGACTGGCAGAGAATGCCATAAGGCATTAAGGTGGATGCGTCGACCGTCCGTCCATACATTTTTTAACCAAAATATACACTAAACACAGACACTCTTTCTTTAAAACGAATCATTTTATCACTTCTCTACAATGAAATGTGTACGCGTTTGACTTTTATAGACAATAACTTACATTATATACTGAGAAAAACAATAGTGAAATCCCGGAAAAATTTGACACTTCTTTAGTAATGTGCGTGACTTTTGACAAGTAAACTAAAGGCGACGTTTAAACACTGGCACGCTAGATGGCATCCAAGTGATCTTAAATAATTCTGATAAATCAATATCTTAAGTTCAACGATTGGTTAATTTCCTTTCCAACCGTTAAAAAAAACAGTATAAAATAACATAAAACTAATGACCTTAGACACCTATGTTTTTTGTAAACAATTTTATTACTTATTATTTTTGTGTGGCAACATAAATACCAAAAGTCGTAGGAAGAGCGATGATGCCGTCCTTCCTGACAACAAACTGATAAGAGTACTAAGGTATTCCTGACCTTGAATTGACGAAATAAAAGCGTTGCCAAACTTCGTTCACTTGTTTGACTTGTTATAAAATATATTCTGATTTCGGTTGTCACGCGCTATGATTTGCGCGCGGAATTTCTTGTGTATTATACATATTTTGTATGTATGTTTTCATTGATTCGAATTGCAATATTTCTCTAGTATATATTTGAGACTATATTGTAATTTATCGTATGTATAGTAATTAATTATTCTAAAAACGCAATTATGTTTTCGGTAGTATTATAAACAACAGGCTGGCCCGTGATTTTTCTGAAATATCGTCACAATGCTGATTACTTACGTCATACGTGTCAGCGTTTCATATAATATGAATGTGTTTGAATATGTTTTTGGTCAACAATAAATACAATTATTATAAATCGGTAAACTACCAAAGTAGTCACAAAATTAAACTTGCAAACATTTACTAAATATGGTTTTGCCGGATTACATTAAACACCCTTTACGCATTTTGCAAACAGTTTCAGACAGACACACATTATTAGTTTGTTATATTTTGTAGAGCTCAAGTTCACGGTTATGGTGCGTTCAGAAACAAATATAATTCAGTTACACAAAATCCTTTTTTCTGTTCCATGCTTTATTGTTTATAAATAAATAGCTTATTCTAATCTGAGTTATATTTTCGTCGGCCAATTCTACCAGGAAAATAAAGATAACATCGAAATAAAAAGATAAGTAAATTTTTGTACATTTTAGTGTTTCTTGATCTTGTGTTCCGAACGCAACCCAATTCATATAGAATTGAAGGAAGATTTGTATATATATTGTATAGTACCTGGATGACCGAGCATTGCTCGGTATTTTTTTCTTTGAAATCGTCTGTTTTGGAAGTTATATTTAGTATACTGATAAAATATGAAAAATATTTTTTGATCTTACCGACATAATAGAAAAAACTGAACTGGTTATTAGAATGAAAAATCATGAGTGCAATAAAATTTTCGTATTTTTAATAAAATACTAAAAAAAGAGCTCGAAATAACAGATTTTCTCACAAAAGAAGGGAACTTGAAAAAAAAGGGAAAAAAGTCAATTCTAAGACAAGACGCGAACCAGGCCACTACGATTTCGCGACAGTACGTTATCCACTTAAGCTATTACGATTATAATATAGTGTCAAAATTTACCTTCTTATATTGTAGCAGTTTTTCATTGCCTGAAAACACGGACAAAACGACATTTTCTAAAAATTAATCCTAGCTAGATCGATTTATTGCCCTCTGCACACAAAATTTTATGAAAATCGTTGGAGCCGTTTCCGAGGTTCCGATTATATATATATATATATATATATATATATATATATATATAATTCTACGAATTCGTAGGTATATGATTTATATTTTTGTTTTACTAAAAGCTTTTGTTGAGTGCTTCGAAATTAGGAAATATTATTTTCAAACTTCCTGGTTATTATCACAAAATAAATCGTGTTATAGATTTGTTGTTATCTCTTGTTTGTGAATTATAGTTTCTTACGTGTTGGTTATGAAATGTCTAATTATTGTAATAATAATTGGTACTGTTACAAATCATCAGTGTTATTAGTTTTGAGTGAATAGGCATATGTATCAGTAAAATTATGTTGCTTCAAATAGGTACTTCCGTTTTGATAAAAAATTCAATAGTGTAATGTAATAAAATAAAACTGCGTTATATTGTAATCAATGTTGACATAATTTATTTCCCAAAGTTATAAATCAATTAAATAGTTTACGCCAACAAATATAACTTTTATTTTTATAACAATCGTACATAGCGTTTTGTAGTTCTGCTTACCCAATCTACACATACAGAAAAATTAAAAACTTGTTTTTTTTACATACACGCCATCTAGTGTTTTAGCTTCGTAAACGTAGGGATACGTCTGTATGTGTAAACTACACTATATTCAATGACAGATGTTATAATCAAAATTAATGTCGAATTGGGTGGATTTTGAGGCAATGATATGACCCATTCCAATAAAATGTAATTTCCGATAACCGCAAAGTCTACTTCTACGACTTAATAATTTTCCAATTACACAAAAATCCAAATAAACTAAAAATGTTGACTTCAGCGCCATCTTGCGGGAGAATGGCTGGGAGCAGTCCGTAGGTTTCACCTTAAGGCCGCCCTTTATATCCCTTAGTATAAGGTGTATAATAAAGATTAAATAAATAAAAATAAACTTTTATAGGCTGTAATGTATGGAATGAAATATTCAAACCTAAATGAATTTCGGTCTGATTTCGACCACTAGGTGACATTTTAAAGATCCTCCACCACCTTATCAAACAGTCCGCCCCTAGGAGGGAGAGTTTGAAGTAATCACCAAGCATGGGTTGGTGATGGTTTTACCAGATGTCTTGTGGCTTTGTCAACTACCTGAACATTTTACTTGTGTAAATACGAGAAAGTTATACTGCCTTGTATTGAAGGATACAGTCTTATAATGACCTTTACCCATAAGTGGTTTAGGGACGAATGTTTTGGGTGTTGTTTTTTAAGTTGTTGACCATAGATGAACCATAGATAGATGAATCAAGGCTGAATCCGATGATGATGATGATGATGATTTCTATCTGAAATTATGTTTGGGAATGTTTTAATGATTGCAGGTCTTGGTCGTCATGAACTAACTGCAGCAGCCAGAGGTGCTTTACTTGGCGAAAGTCCTGTCCCAAAAACTATAACAGACTCAAATTCACATGAAAACAAACAAATACAGAGCGATCCTATAGCACGAGTAGTCGGCAGAAACGTAAACTTTGTCTCTACCTCAAATAATAACACAGAGACAAAAGAACTGGATTTTATACCGATCAAAGACTCCGGTAAAGAGTTGTCGAATGTCTTTAAACCATTTGTAAGCGATCCGCAGAAACAGGCACGGTATGAAAGGTACTTGAAAGATAAGAATAGTGTCATCCAAGAAAGTAATAGTGCTATAGATGATAGGCTTACTGAGTGGGAGAGGAGCAGAGAGTTAATGGAGTTTGAGCAGGCAGCAAAATTGTATAAGCCTTTGTCTGGAATCATGGAGGAGAGGTAAGAGGTTAATTTGTTTTTATTTTATAAAGAATAAAGATGCAAACAAGCACACAGTTCATCACATGGTTAATGAGTGCTCTGGCCCATAAACATCTATATCTATCCTCGATTAAGAATCAAAATGCAGATGCACTGTCATCCTTAAGGGTGAAAATGGAATGCATCCTTACCAGTTAATAAGGATACGTGTTGTTTGTGGTACGTTTTCTTTCCTCACAGCAATAGTTATCTGCATCTGTTTCACGGTCCTACACTTCAGACAATCCATTTGTGCTACAGCCATAATAATAATGTCCTCCAGACCGAATTTCGGCCACGGCGGCCTACCTCAACGGAGGTTAGCCATCGGCGCAGGACAGGATTATAGTGCCCAAGTGTGTGCGCAAGCACAGGTGCACTCTCTATTCCCTCACTCAACGGGACCATTCTTTACTGGCAGCTACTAAAATTTCTTACGGACCTCAATAAAAACCTCATGATCAAGAGTCGCACTACCTCGTTGGTCCAATGTTTACTGGACCAACGAGGCAGTCATAATATAGCTGCAGCATAGTTTTACTATGTTTAAGTGTCAACATAATTTTTTATTTATTTATTTTTTATTTATTTGGCTTTTCAGGGAAACATACAGTACAATAAAAAAAATCCATTATAAAACATATAAAGGTAATCCTAAAACCAATGAAATTTCCACAGATATCTAAAACATATTAAAAGCTTGCAACCACAATATGTTTAAAGATTGAAAAAAAAATTACTAAATGGTATTTATAATTAAAACATTAAGTACTAAGCATAAAATAAAAGTAATGCAATACACACAACCTGTAGTGAAGCTACCAATTACAAATTAAATTTTACAATATTCTTTTTATAACTATTATATTTAAGGTGAAAAATATCTAGTTCACAATATTTTAATTAAAAATTTTTACATTTACGAGATACAAAATTTTATGTTATTTATTTTATTTAAGTGTCAACATAATTTATGTTATTAATTTTTTTTCCTTATATATTTATTGGTTTAACCATTGTTGAAATTGCTGTATTTTTTTTTGCCTAATAATAAATCGACACCAGTCGATAAAAGTACACTACTGAACATGTAGCTCACCCATTGTAGGGAGAGTTTGTGTTATTCGACATGGTTGCCAGGTTTCTTTTCTTCACAAGTCTGTGTATTTTACGTCTGGGCGTAAACGGAATAATTTCACCGCCGTGTATCAGAAGGCATAAACTATTTTTTTAAATAAAAAGCACTTCTGGTTTCACCCAAAGACGTAGGAGCCTATAACACCTGCGTGACGAAATAAAATTATTATTATATTTTTTTAATTTTACCTTGATTGGTATAATAAAAGAGAGTTGTCTCTCTTGTTAAATAAAAAGAATTTTTAAAGAAGCAAAAATAATTATTTCTTTTATTTACGCGAACACTACACATTGAATAAAACTATTTATCGCGTCTAATTATTTTTTTTAATTCCCGAGGTTTCGGGTGCTTTACAGCACCCGTGGTCACGGATGCTCTATTGGACTGAGATGTTTGACATCCCAATGTCATAGTTTCCAAAGCCAAGCATACCTCTGCAAGACTTCAAGATAATGTAAGTTCTGCATAGATCGGACCAAAAATTAATATTCAACAACTGAAGGTAGCTGACCTAACTATGACATTGGAACATCTAATATCTCAGTTGCCCTCGTGACCATGGGTGTTGTGAAGCACCCGCAACGTCAGGAATTAAAAATAAGTTAATTAAACGCTACAAAATCCGTATAAATAGTTTTACTTTAAGCAAAAATAATATATAAATTTTTTCTATTAGGTTCACACATGCTTCAGAACCCGATGATGGAGCTCTTAACCCTCTATGTGCGGTTGCAAAGAGTTCAAACAACTACGGACTAGCAACTCCTGAGCAAATAGAAGCAGCGATGAAAGGGGCTTTCGGTCCCATCACAAGACAAGAGACAGTGTGGAGACCGGAATCTCTCGTTTGTAAACGTTTCAATGTGCCTGAGCCTGGTACCACTAGGTAAGGATTTTTTATTTACAATGGCTCTTTTAGTAAACCTTGTCATGCATGTTAATACAATTATTAATTACTTACGGTTAACAGAGAATGGTTCCATAACATAGAATACTATAATACACAATAAAATGGCTCTCAGCCTTATTTTGTATGAGGATTGGCGTCGCCGGGAGCACACATACGACCACTTACGTCGTATTATCAGTTAATCACTACTACAAACCTGATTCGCTGTGTTGACAGACGGATTTTAATACATATTTATTTCTAAATAGCGTGCAATTTGGCATTTTCTAAATAATTTACATGCGAAATTTGGAAACGATTATAGATATTATAGCGTCAAAACACATCTCGTGTTGACATTTATACGTGTGAATTGACGTGTTAATAGTGTTTTAGTAGATACACGGGCTCCGCCCACACCCTCGTTCTATTATGTATGTATTATAGTATTCCATGTTCCATAATGTAGGTATTTGTTTAATCTTTAGTGAATTCTCGTTAAAGACTACAAAAGGTGGACTTTATGCCTTTAAGCATTCTCTATCAGTCAACCCGTGGAGTGGTGAGAATTTGACATAAGTATAGGAATACGGAAAAAATAATAAAGAAACCCTTATACCCTTAAATTGAAATAAGTAACGTACTAAGTACATTAAGCAAAAGCAGCAGCTTTTAATAGAAAAACCGTGACATAAAGTTCTCAATTTAATTAATGCTTAAAATTGCTCGATTCCTTGTCACTAAATGACAAGAGAAAAAGACAGCAATAGTGTGCGTAGGTGCACGCTTTAATTCCTCCCTCTCCTTTCCACCATCGGACAAACAGGCGGTCGGCGGGTCTTCACCCCTTTGTTGTCGTTATTCCACGCATGAGAACCAAATGGTTTACTTCGACTTTTTTGATGCGTACAGCGAAGGAGTGGAATAATTTGCCGGCGACTATCTTTCTGTCCGAATACAATCACAGCGTCTTCAAGATAAGAGTGAATAGGCTTTTGTTACGCTAAGACAGTGCGATTCGTCATTTTAAAGTATTTAAAAGTTTAAAGAAATTTATTTTCAAAAAGACAAATAATGCCACTTACATGAAAATAATAATTACGTTTTAGTGTACTATTCTAATGGTCGCCGAACACTCAGTCAGTAGCTTCATAGCCTCAATTTAATGGTGAAAAATGTTCAGTTATGTATTGTGATAACTGAGACTCAAAACTACTAAATGAGCTTGCATTTTTATATTACAAGGCAATTTATTATAAATCTGTGCTCCTTTAAAGGTAATGCATTTTTTTTTGCGTAGTTTGTTCGTACCTTTGGTAGTACAACAAGTAAGCTAGGTCGACGAAGACTGCGTTTACAAATTTGCGATTTTTTTTTTACAAAATCTTTCAACAATTAAATAATAAGTTCTTCGATTTTTTTCACGTTTTCTCTTCTTTACAGAGATGAACCAAAAAAGGAAGATAAACCTAAGGTTTCCTATTCGATATTTTCATATTTAGAATCATCTGTACATGACAAAGAAAGTTTTACCAAAGAACAAACAAAATTCAGTGGTTCTAAATCATTAAATATGGACGCAATAAATAGAACTAAGCTAAACGAGCGTGAGACAAACGAAAATAAAAACGAACCTACTCCACAAATGGCAGTTAATAATAATAACAGTACTGGTTTTAATAAAAGAATGACGGTTGCAGAACTGTTCTTAAAGGAATCGGAAAATGATATCAAGAACAAAGATCAAGGAATCGAAGTTACAGAGACGATAAATAAGTTTGACAAAATGGATCTTTATAAGTCAATTTTTCTAAGTGACAGTGAAAATGAAGAGGATGATGGTGAAGAAAAAGTGAAAACAAACGATGAATCCCATTTTATCGAAAAACCGAAAAATGTTGAAAGAAACACTTCACCACCGCGCGGAATTTTCGCTAACATAGATTTCGATGAACTGAATTCTTGGAAAAGAAATTCTGAAGCTAAAAATTCTGAAACAACTGCTATTAAAACTTCAACAGAAACTAGTTCTAATGACACATTTGATGAAAAAGGGAACCAAAATAAACTAACTGGCAACGATAAACCAAATGAAGATATAGAAGCTAATGTATATGGTCCGAAAATTCCAGAGAACTTGAAAAATAGACTAGAGGATACCGGACCGCCGGAAAATAATTTCAAACCGTCGTTTAGAAGTAAAGAACAAAGAGATTTAGTTCGGGAAGTAGATTCATCGTCGGATTCTTGGGTTGAGGCAAAAGAGGCGAAAACGAAAAAACAGAAGAAAAAAAAGACTAAAAAACACAAATCTAAACACAAGAAGTCTAAACATAAGAAGAAAGATAGGTAGTAATAAACTAAATTGTACATATATACTAAAAAGCATTTTTATTTAAGCTTTCAGTGTAGCAAAAGTCAAAGTGAAAGTAAAAACTTTTTTCTTTATAGAATAGGGGTGACAAACGCAAAGTCCTGATGGTAAGTTGTTGCTTTTCTTACATTTGTCCTCGATTAGTTATCAAAACGCAGATGCGTTGTCACCCCTAAGAACTTAGTGGAATGCCTCGTTTCCGGCAAAAAGGGGTCTCCGGATCTCTACACTCATCATACGAAACAGTAGCATTAAGCTGCTATAAAAAAGTAAAGTTACAGCCTATATACGTCCCACTGCTGGGCACAGGCCTCCCCTCATTTCTAAGAGGGCTTTAGGGCAAGAAATTGTCCGCCGCGCTGCCACAATGCGTGTTGGCGAACTTCACATGTCTTCGAAATATTTTTTTGCCTTATTCCTCAGACATGCAGGTTTCCTTACAATGTTTTCCTTCACCGCCGAGCACGTGGTAAATCAGCACTTAAAATTGTAATTAACAATTTCATTGGTGCCGGCGGAGATCGAAACCGGGTTACTCGTGTTCCGTTATATTACAGCGAGCGTTAACCATCTGAGCTCGCTAAAGCTGCTATATTATGCTGGTATTCTGTGAGAACATGGTCCTACACCGTTTAAGCCAACCCATTCGTGTTACAACCACAATATAGCTGCAGCGTGGCTCTACCACCTAAAAATGTGGCAAAAGTCAAAGTGAAAATTAAAACTTTTAATTTAGTTAAGACTTATATAAAGCTCTTATGCTGCAAAAACAAGACTTCTTAAAAGAGAGCGGGCAAGAAACTGGGGTATTTTTTAAAGTAATAAATGAATGGAATAAATAAAATATAAAACTATGTGGCTAAGAATGTCAATGATCTAGGTTTCAAAATTGATTTTAACCAACTTTAAAAAGGAGGAGGTATTCAATTCGACTGTATGATTATTTTAATGTTATACGTCATAACTTTTCTCTGGGTGAACCGATTTTGATGATTCTTTTTTTATTTGAAACCTGGTGCTTCTCGTGTAGTCCCATGTAAATGATTAAGATCTGACCAGTAGTTTTCGAGATATCCTTAATCATGCGTATTTAATTGGCTTCGAATATATTGCTGATGTTCTCATACATACATACATATAAACACTCACGCCTGTCACCCAGAGGGGTAGGCAGAGACTACAGACTTCCATTTAGCACGATCCTGACATACCTTTCTCGCCTCTTCCACATCCATATACCTACGCATACATGCTCGTCGGTTAAGGGTACTCTTAATTTGGCCCATTTTTAGTATATCGCCAATTTGGTCGACAAACTTCCGCCTAGGACGTCCCTTTCCGACTCTTCCATTCACTTCTGCAACATATATTTGCTTTGTCAGTCTTTCCGCATTCATTCTTTCTACATGACCAAACCACCGAAGCATTCCTTTCTTAATCCTGGTCACCGCATCATCTTGCAAACCACACTCTTCTTTTATCACACAGTTTCTCACCCTGTCACTCAGATTCAGCCTTAACATACTCCTTAGCGACCGCATTTCTACTGCATTTATTCTACTCTCGTGCTTCTTCTGCCACACCCAACTTTCACTACCATACGTTAAAGTAGGGAATAATACAGCACTGTGAATTGCCATACGTGCCTTTTTTGACACATTCTGACTTTTCACAATAGAGTGTAGAGCCCCATTTACTTTATTTCCTGCATTCACTCGTCGTTCAATGTCCTTATCATATCTCCCATCCCTGCTGAATACACATCCCAAATATACGAACTCATCCACTTGCTCAATTAACTCTCCTTCTATTCTTATTTCACATACCGTTTTGCTTTCATCTCTTTCAAAAACCATCACTTTCGTCTTACTTGCGTTCACTTTCATTCCCCTTTCTTTTAATGACCTGTTCATTAATGTAACCATTATTTGCAACTCGGCCGCCAACGACGCAAGTATGACTTGATCATCGGCGTACAAAAGGCATTTGATGGTTAACTCACCCATTCTTAACACGCATTCTTCAACTTTCAAATTTTCCAAACAGCTGTCCATAAATAGGTTGAACAGCCACGGGGAAGCTACACAGCCCTGTCTGACACCTTTATGGATGCCAAACCAGTCCGAGTAGACCCCGTTGATTCTAACACAAGCACTCGAGTCCCTATACAGAGACTTTAATGCCTGTATCAAACCAGCGCTCAACCTAAATGCGTACAGCGTTTGCCATAACACATGCCTGTCCACTCTGTCATAAGCCTTTTCCAAGTCCATGAACGCACAAAAAACTTTTTGGTTTTTCGCCAAAAACTTCTCCGCGATCATGCGCATGGAAAAGACTTGATCTGTACACCCCATTCCCTTTCTAAATCCCGCTTGCACATCCCAAATTTTTTCATCAGTTTCTTTCATAACTCTTTCAATTAGTACCTTAGCATACAGTTTTCCCACAATGCTAATAAGGCTGATACCACGGTAGTTTTTACAGTCCTGCTGTGACCCTTTTCCCTTATATATTGGGACTATCACGGCTTTGCACCAGTCTCCCGGTACCCGTTTTAGTTCCCAACATAAATTAAACAAGGTGTACAGCAGGCCTGCCACCACGTCCTCTCCAGCCCTTAGCATTTCGAGTGAAACTCTATCATATCCGGCTGCCTTACCTACTTTCATACTTTTCATTGCTGATGTTCTCATTTTATTTATATTAAAGTCAGTTGTACAAAAATCAGTCATTAAACTGAGAATAAGTATTAAGGTACAATATTTATTTACGAAACACAACAACTTACAATATTTATCATGATAAAAGTAACTAAAAGCTAAATTTATCAAACAATCCCAACACGGTATAGTGCTAAGACTGTAGCCTGCGTTTGTTTGCTGAAATGCTATAATTTGGATTAGTAGAGAACAACCCTCTTGTCGCAGCGGCGAGCTGATGAGTCGCTGAGAGATGACATCATCTCTCAGAGACTCATATTTACGCAATTCAACCGCCTATGATACCTCCCCAGCCACAGGCGGGTTAGCCTTGCCCTTGCGATGAGAGGCTGCCATAATATTTTAGGGTTTTGCCTCCCTTACAAGGGATTAAATTCAAATCGTCGGATCACCTATTATCGTTTCTAAAAATATTCAATGAAACATTTACTTTCGGATAACGTCGATCAGAGAAGCTTGTCGGGCCAATTTTTTAAATCTAACTCTTCGAAACTTCTAAAACAAGGATACCAATGAGGTTTTTTATAGAATAGGGGGGGACAACGAGCATGTAGCTTACCTGGAGATAAGTGTCGACAGTCACGCATACACCAGGCAAATTGAAAATGCGTTGCCGGCTTTTTCGTTTCTTGAAGGTCGCCGCTTCCTACACGGCAATGCGCAAACTTTCGCCGTTACGTACATAATGTGAATTAAACAGTCCAACCCATAGAACACTATAATACACAATAGATTGGCTGTCAATTTTATTTTATAGGAGGATTAGCGTCGCCAAACTTGATTCGCTGTGTTGACAGATGAGTAAATTTACACATTTTAGACTTGATTAATGTTCAAGATCATCATTAAATACATATTTATTTGTAAATAGGGTGCATTTTGACATTTGTCAAATTGCACCCTATTTACAAATAAATATGTATATATAAACGATTGTAACGTCAAACACATCTCGTGTTGACATTTATACGTGTGAATTGACGTGTTAGTGACATTTTAGTGGCTACGCGGGCTCCGCCCACTCCCCCGTTCTATTATGTACTTATGTATTATAGTATTCTATGGTCCAACCGGTGCTGAATTTTTGGCTCATATCGCTAATATCTCTAAATATAAAAATCAATTGCTATCCGTGAGTCTCGCTTAAGGTTAGAACTAGCTCGGCGGGTTTTGTTGGATTTTTTTGTGTGAGTTGGATGGATTTGATTCACAATTGGAGCCGGTAGGTGGAGATTTTGTCAAGATGATTGATGAAGACCCCAGGCGGGGTGGATAGTCGGAATTCGTATATTATTTTTCTTCCGAGTTTCCCCCTCGACTATGTATAGTCGTTAATAAAAACATGATAGAAGCTGGCCGAAAATTACTTATTAGACAAAACTAAGCTGGGTGTACCATGGAAGGCCACTCTAACAAATAAACAATTTTTTTTTTATAATTCGTTTATTTGCTGGATAAATGAAACTAACAAATATTTAAGTTATACTCATTGAGCTATTATGTACTACGTACTAGTGGCGACACTGCATTCAGCTACTCTTTTCCACTCAACTGTGTGCATACACTCGGTGCATACACCGCACTTTAATCAGTCACTCGCTAGGCGCTTATAGAGTTGTCACTTGTTGTGATGATTTAAAAAAAATCTCCTAATAAAAATATGCCGTCTTGTTTAATTAGATATTGCACAAATAATTCAAGAAATGTCAGTAAAACCAAGGAATTACTTTTCATCGGTTAATAAAATACTTCATCAATAAAAACGTATTTTGTTTTAATAATAAAACAAATTATTCCTAAGACGCCATCTCGTGTCATGGAATATAGATTTTGATATTAATATGTTCAGATGCGACATTTTTGTGGGTACTTAAGTATAGGACGAATATATTATTATACACATTTTTTTGTAGAAACATATATATATAAGTTATTATAATTTGGAAAACATTTTCATGTTTAAATCTGCTTATTATTCTTTTATTTTATTTTTAGTTTTCCACATCAAAGTCAAAGTGGAATAAATTCGTCCATTTTTAACTCTCGCGTGCCTAGCGTTATTGGTCCTGCGTCTGATCTCTCTCTCCCGTCGTGTCAAAGTTTCCGCCTATCGGACTACAAGGCTTAGCACGCACTGCGATTAAATCATTAAACGCGAGCGTTTTGGGAATAGCTGATAACGCAAAACCGCATACAATCACGCACTGAGGCTGGAGTTTTGCTTAAAATTAAGTTTCAGTACCACCATGGATTTCG